CTGAGATTTATGTTACCTTTTGGCTGTGCGGCCTAATGACCGACAGTTGTGATAACCACTAGAGTTTAATGCACATAAAGATCAATGGGAACTTTATGTGCATTTTAAACGACCCGCGAGTGCGCCAGCGCTGGGGCTGGGTCATGATCGGTGTCCTTCGTGTGCCACCGGCCACAACACACAGGAGATGCTGCTGTGGTCCACGCCCTCAGCAGCAACAGGTGCAAGGTTGAATAACTTCACACGTTTTCAGGAGGGGTGGGCAGGCGCGCGCGGGGGGGGGGGGCGGCTTTGGGGAACCGATTTAAGGATTAGATCAGATGTTATTGCTGGTGAAAAATTAAACAGGCCGGTGCTCTGGGGAGAGCAGATTAATACATTTAGTGACTCGATGCACAAAGGCCGCCCATTGTAACGGCTTCTGAATGCCTGTGAATGGGGGGAACATATGTGGCCTGTCACCGCAGGTGCCCACATCTGTTCCCCGCCGCGCTCGCTGAGGGCGCGCGGAGGCACAGGGACTCCGTGGGCCACCGGGGCCGCGCCCGCCACCCTCGCAGGCCCTTTCTTCCACTCATCGCTCTGGGCAGAGTCGTACCGAGCGCAGGGACCGGGGCGACAAGGACCTGTCGCCCTTGCCCGCGGGTCACGCTCCCGCGACCCCTGGCCTGCTCAACGGTCCCTAGTACCAAATGCCACCATCACCAGGAAGCCCTCAGGGCTCCCGCTCCGTGGTGTGGGTCTCGGTCAGCGTGCTCCTAACCCACGTGCCCGCCCCCACCGTGGCCTGTCCCCGCGGTAAGGCCTTCTTGAGGCCGCTCAGGCCTGGCGCGGGCGGACGCGAGCAGCTGCTGCGTAATCGGATCCCGGGACAAAGGCGCCCGCAGTGCCGGCGCAGGTAACCGCGCTTTGTCATGGAGATGAGGCGGCACGGGGGCAGCGGCTGGACTGTGCGGGCTCTTTACCGTGCAGAAGCGCGCGTGCCTTCGCAGGCAGGCCAGAGGCCCCACTCATGCCCGTGTTCGTGTTCCCCTGTAAGCACGTCCAACGAACGCCCCGAGCGGGCTGGGTGGGAAGCGCCTCCCTCCTGCTGTACGTGAGGCCGCCACGCGGGGACCTGTCCCTGCCCCTCTCCCCGCTCCACGACCAATATCCAGCTTTGCGAGGCCGGGTGGACTGCGGACTTTGTGCCTCAGCACAGGTGTAGCCTGGTGTCCCTTGGGGTCTTCCCCGAGTTGAGGGTTAGTGCCGCCTTGGGCTAAGGGTTAGGGAGCCCGGTGCAGGCAGTCCTGGCCAGCCCGCGCCACTGCTTTCCTACCGTGCTCAGATTCTAAAAGCAGAGAGCTGGCGAGATGCGAGCCTAATACTAATGAACGCACAGGCTCTGCGCCCCCTGCTTCTGCTCCTTTTTTTTTTTTTTTCTCTTTTTTTCCTCAGGGAAGCTGGCATGTTTGACCAACACCAGCTTTGCTGCCGGGAAGTGTTTTATTTTGTTGTTGTGAACAAGGACCCTAATTCTTCTTGGGGAGAAGAGAACCTCTGTGATGGGTATACAGCCTTCAGCTGGGCTGAGGAACACAAGCCCACTCAAGCCTCCATAGGAAACCCGACCTGGCCTGCAGGGATGCAGCCAGCGCGGACTGCTAGGGACAGCCCCTCAACCCCCACCCACTGCGCCACCGCACCTTTATGCCCAAGGGGACTCAGGAAGAGGGGCACAGCTGCGGTGGGGCCTGGCAAACAGCAGCAGCACCAGCACCAGGCAGACACTGGGTGCACGTGAACCCTGATGAGCCTAGTGTGGGCAGGGAATTTGCTGAGACATCAAAAAGTATTTAAAAGAAACTTTCCTGTTTTTTCCTAGGGAGCTAGGTGAGGATTTATGATGTGTGGGGAGGTGGGACTTGGTCTGTTTAACCAGCTCTGGCGCAGCTCCCTCCCAGGCGGGGTGTCCCAGGCGCTGGGCTGTGGAGTATAGAGACATGCAGCTTCGCAGTGAAAAAACGCCATTTGGTTCAGAGCAGATGGCTGGCTAGGGGGCTGATGGCGTCTAAAGGCGTGTCACCCCCTCCAGCTCCCATCCCCAAGGGCCCCCCTTGTCCTCCCAATCAATGAAAATTAAAGTGCAGAGAAAGGGTGAATAGTCGGCCTCCAGCCCTCTTTTGTTCATCCCGCTCCTGGTGTGCAGGAGTTACCCTGCAGCAGCCCCATGGAAACACCCAAGTTAAACAGTCTCCCCGGCCGAAGTGAGGGTGGGGGCAGAGGAGGAGGAGGACGGAGAGGAGGAGGAGAAAAGGGCTTTCTGCTTGATTTCCCCAATATAGAATCGCGTGGCATAAATTAAGTCGGAAAAGAATGAACCTTGGTCAGGATTCTGACGGATTTTACGCCGCCTTTCAGCCCTGCTTTGCCGCTGTAATCGAGAAATCTGTGCCGTGTCAGTTTAACAAATGCCTGATGCTGAGGGGGGTTGTTCAGGACTTGGGGCAAGTGCTTTCCCCCCGAGGTCCGGGCCCTTGCGCGTGGGGCTTTTTATGTCCTCTTCTAAACAGGCATTCAGGAGAGCCTGCTCCCCCACTTCCATTTTCTAATTAAAAGGTTCCTGATATTTTGTTTCTTGCTGAAACCCATGCCCAGGCTCCGGCCCTCACAGAGTGTTCTGGACTCTGACGTCACATCTCTGTCCCCGGCCCCTCACCCCCCAGGAGCTGCGCTGGAGCCTCGCAGACAGTGGCTTTCCGCTTCCAAGAGAAATGTGGACCTAGTGAGAGAGGGCTGCCGACACTAGGTGGCAAGATTAAATTAGGATTGGAACAGGCTCCAATCTGCAGGCTAGCTCCCACCGCAGAGGTGTCAGGGCTTCTGAAAGCTCCATTTGCTCCTAACAGAATTGCGGGGCTCTCAGTGGGGGATCTAAGGGGGGCTCCTGAGTGACCCTACAGATCATGCAACTCTGGAGATGCGGGGGGGGCGGGGTTGGCAGCGGGGGGGGGTGGGCAGCAGCGGGGTCTTAACATCTGTGGCTGCCGGTTGCTTCCCCCAGGGCCCCAGGCATTCTTTCTGGGCTGAGGACAGGATGACCGCGACCCGGGCCATCTTTCTGCCCGGGGCACAGGGCAGTCCTGCCCTCCCCCCCGCCCACACCTTGCGCCCCAGGAGGCCGTCCTGGGCCTCAGCTCGCTCTGGGGCAGGACGGGACAGGAAAGCGGTGGCACAGGGCAGGCCCAGCACAAAGCTGGACGCCAGAGCACTGGCAGGAGCCCCCGCCCCGGGCTTCCTTCCCCGGCGCGCCCGCGAGTGTGAGCGCAATTTAGATAATTCATTGTGTGGTGCTGTGTTCTCAGCCCTCCCAATAAACTCATTTCCCTTTAAAAACCGAAAACAAAAGTTCCAGTGTCTGTCGGACGTGTAGAAACCTAATAAGGTGACGGTTGTGTAAAGGTGGGGGGCGGGGGCGCCGGGCCAGGGGCTCCCGCAACATGTGCCGGACATTGTGGCGGAGGCCGCGGCGCGCGCGGAGGGGAGCTGCCCGCTCGGCATTGTGCGCGGAGCAGGTGCTGCCCACATTACCATACAGCTGAGCGCACAAAGAGCCAGTGACAGCCGCGCACAATAACAGACTGCCTTAATGACAGCCACGCGAGCGACACACACCAAGCCCACTCTTTACCAGGCCGGGGAGGCCGCGGGGGGAATGCCCAGGAGAGCGGGGCCGAGACCTGGGGAAGGAGGCGGCCGCGTACCGGCGAGGGGCAGCCCGGGCTCGGGGGCGAGGGATGGGGGGGGACCCCACCCCCAAAGACCCTGGGCGATCTGGAACCCGAGGCCGCAGAGACGCCGGGGTCCCCGTGGGGGAGGGGTTACGCTCCAGATGCGCGCTCACCACCCTCCGCCAGGAGGTGAATCCCGGTCGACCTCCCCAAACTTCTCGAGATCAGGGGCACTGCCGCCGCCCTCCGCCCCGCCCACCCCTGTCCTTCCAAGCCCCCGTCTCCCGGCTCCTCCTCAGTCAGAGCCTGCGCAGCAGAGGGGGCTCGGGACCTCGGACTCCGAACTTGGACCCCCCACCCGACTCCCGCCCTGACCACCACCACCGCACCGCGCTGTGCCGCCGCCTCCCTAATCTCCGGGGCGGGGGCGAGGAGCCCGTGGGGGCGTCACAGCCCGGTCAGGGCTGGTGGGGATCCGAGGTACTGCCGGCAGGGTCCGTGCGCCAACGGGTGAGCGCGAGGGGCCCGGGGCGGCAGCTCCAGCCCCGCGAGCGCCAGGGCTCCGGCGGCGAGCGTTTCGCAGGAATGTAAATGAGCGCGCTCCGTGCGGGGCGGGGGCGGGAGGGGGCGGGAGCGGGGGCGGGTTGCACATTTTACAGCTCACTGACCATTTGGCGAGCCATTGAGCGCCGGGTTTGGAAAAGTGGCTCCTTTGTGGCCGCGCTCGCCAGATTGGGGGGCTGCCCATTTGCATCTCATCAGCCATGCGGGCGGCCGGCGCGATATAAGCGCGGGCGCAGCGCCGGCGCGGCCAGGGCGCAGCGGAGACCCAGCCAGGGCGGAGCGGGGCGGGCAGCGCGCGGAGCCGCCTCCCACGCCCGGCGAGCCTGTGCGCGCCGCCGCGGATGGCACTGGCTGGCTCGGGCCGAGAGACGCGGGCCTCGGCGGTGGCGCAGGAGGCTCGGACGCTGCACGCTCGTTGACACGGTCACTGCCCGGCCGCCGCCACGGCCGCCGGCACCCAGGTAGCGTCTGCGCTCGCGGCCAAATCACCGCCGCGCCGGGACACGCAGAACCGCGTTCGGGTCGGCTGCGAGGTTCCCTCCGCCGCGCGTACGCGGGCGCGCCCTCCTCCCTCGGTCCAGCCGGGACGCCCGAGACAAAACCAGGAAGGCGACGACGCCGACCCGCCTGCGCAGCTGGGACGCTGACTGCGGCCGGCACCCCGCACTGGGCAGAAGGAGCCTGGCGTCAAGCGCGGCCCGGCGGAAGGGACGAGAAGTGGGTGCCATGGGCCGCCGCGGCGCGCTGGCCCTCGCCATGGTCTCGGCTCTGCTGTGCCAGGTGGGTCTCACGGGTTGCGGCGTTCTCCCCCTCTATCCTCCCATCCCCGCAATCCACACTGGCTCCCGCGGCTCACGCCCCCTCCCCCGCCTGCCAGGTCTGGAGCTCGGGGGTGTTCGAGCTGAAGCTTCAGGAGTTCGTCAACAAGAAGGGGCTCTTGGGGAACCGCAGCTGCTGCCGCGCTGCCACGGGGCCGCCGTGCGCTTGCCGGACCTTCTTCCGCGTGTGCCTCAAGCACTACCAGGCCAGCGTGTCCCCCGAGCCACCCTGCACCTACGGCAGTGCCGTCACTCCCGTGTTGGGCGTGGACTCCTTCAGCCTGCCCGAAGGCTCGGGTGCCGACCCCGCCTTCAGCAACCCCATCCGCTTCCCCTTCGGCTTCACCTGGCCGGTGAGCACCGGCGCGTGCCCGGGGAGGAGGGGCGGGGATGAGGGGCAACTCGGGGAGTAGGGTTTGGCAGGGGGACCTTGGAAACACCCCCTCGCACCAGCCCTGCAAGGAGGCCACGCCTGCGTGCGCACCAAGGGCAGGGGTGGGGAGGATGGAGGCAGATGGCGGGGACGTCTGGACCCCCAAGTCCAGGTGTGGCCTTCAGGTCAGGGATGACCCTGCCAGCGAGAGTACTAAGCGAGGAGGACCTCATACCTGGGCATATTCATGCCCTGTCTACTTCAGTGGTTCTCCGCTCAAGGGAAAAGCACTCGCGGCTCCAGCGCCTCGCCCACAGCCGGGCCCCTGTACCCGCAGGTGCGCCCTCTGCAGCCCTGCATTCTTCTCCCGGCTCTGCCAGCATTCACCTCTCTGCTTTGCCCGCATTCCCGCAGGGCACCTTCTCCCTCATCATTGAAGCCCTGCACACGGATTCCCCGGATGACTTGGCTACAGGTAAACAAACCCTGCTGCCCGACTTGTCCTGCCGCCCATGGAAGGCCCTGTGGACCCTCTGGGCGCCAACTCCCACGATTTCTGCACAGAGAATCCAGAGCGTCTCATCAGTCGCCTGGCCACGCAGAGGCACCTGACCGTGGGCGAGGAATGGTCCCAGGACCTGCACAGCAATGGCCGCACCGACCTTAAGTACTCCTACCGCTTCGTGTGCGACGAGCACTACTACGGCGAGGGCTGCTCTGTGTTCTGCCGGCCCAGGGACGATGCCTTCGGCCACTTCACCTGCGGGGAGCGGGGCGAGAAGGTCTGCAACTCTGGCTGGAAAGGCCAGTACTGCACGGAACGTGAGTGCCTGGACAGACAGGGTTCAGAAACTCAAGTCAGCGTCAGCAGAGGGACAGTACTGCGTTGCACGTGGGTGCCCAGGCAGGCCAGGGGCCAGGAAGTGTGTCTGGTGTAGCCTGGGACATGTGTGGGAAGGAAGGGAGCATGGGACCTGCTTCCAGCCCGTGCGCACTCAGGTCCGTGGCATGTGCCTTGTGCATGGGTAGGGATCTGGCTGGCCCCAGGGAGAGGGAGGGGCTGGGCTGCTGGCCTGGGGAGGGTGTGTATTTGCCTGCCTGGAATACCAGGATGCCCCCCGCCAGGCTAAGCTGCCTGGGTCCCCGGCTGGTTCTGCCTCAGGAGCTTGCGGCGCTGCTGGTGGGTGATGTTTCCTTTTGTCACTGGCACACTGAGCCAGCTCAAAGCCACAGCCGCTGCCTCTGGCCCCCCAGGGCACCCTGGTCGCATGGCCTGCCCCGCCCCAACCTTTTCTGCTCCGCTGACTTGTTCATACACTGGAGTCCGAGCTCGCGTGCCGTAGATTAGATCTCTGTGAGATGGGCAGCCCAGGCTGCCTGCGCTTGGCAGAAGGGGTGTGTGTGTGTGTTTACAAAGGCATGCTGGGGTATGGCATGTGTGTCTCTGCTTACATGTGTGTATGCTGACTGTGCACTCAAGTGTATGCCTGCCTGTCTGCATATGTGTATGTGTGTGCCTGTCTGTGTGAGTACATGCTGGATGTGTGTGTATGCACATACTATGTGTCTATATGCTTGGCTATGCGTGTGGTATATGTGTGTGTCTGTGTGCTTGGTGTTGGTATGTGTATGTGTGTACATGTGTATTGTAATGCTGTGGCTACATGCTTTGTGTGTATATGTGTGATATGTGTACTTGTATTATGTGTATATGTTGCGTTTGTACACAGTTGGTTTGTGTATGTGTGTGTGAAACCCTGGTGTGCATGTACGTGCCTGTGTGTACATGCTTGATGTTTGCATGTGTGTGCATATGCTTGGTGTATGTGTGCATGTGTGTGGTTTGTGTTTGTACATATGTGTATATGCGGTATGTTTGGTGTTTGTGCGTGTAACCTTGGATGCACAGGTGTATACGTAGTATGTGTGTACATTCTTGATGTTTGTACACATATGTGCACAATGCATGTGTGCTGGTGTACATGCTAGGCGTGTGCGTGTGTGTGTACGTGTGTGTACACACGCAGGGCACTTGTGCTTGCTGGCCCTATAGGGTGGGGGTGGGGCAGGAGCGCATTGTTGGGCTGGGGCAGCTGCTGGGAGAGGAGACACAATGGAGCAGCTGTCCGGCCCTGGCACCCTGCATGCCAGCTGTCCACTCTTATCTACAGTTCTGGATGTGGGGGGTGGAGCTTTGTGTGCAGAACCGGGAGTGGGGGAAGGGAAGAGAGGACTTCTGACCCTCTCGGAAGAAAAGGGGAGGGGGCTCCGGAGAGCCCTTTTGTCCTGAGCCACTGTGTGGCAGGGAGGAGTGGACGGGAGTGGCGGGGGTGGGGCGCGGTCACCCCCGGTGGGTGGGCTCAGCTCTGTTTGTCTTCCACAACAGCAATCTGCCTCCCGGGGTGCGACGAGCAGCACGGCTTCTGCGACAGGCCAGGCGAGTGCAAGTACGTGTGCGTGTCCTCGGGGTTGATGCTGCCTGCCGTGGGGTGGGGGTGTCTGCCACGTGACTGGATGCACTGAGTGTGCCGTATTCCATCCAAGGTGCAGAGTGGGCTGGCAGGGCCGATATTGTGATCAGTGCATCCGCTACCCTGGCTGTCTCCATGGCACCTGCCAGCAGCCCTGGCAGTGCAACTGCCAGGAGGGCTGGGGAGGCCTCTTCTGCAACCAAGGTAAGGGCAGCTCTGGACTCCCCTGCCCTGTGCATGACCGTCAGAGAGGCAAGTCTCCCCGTGAGTGACCCTGCCCTTTCTTTCTCCTCCTCCCCCACCCAACGTGCCCCGATAGATCTCAACTACTGCACGCACCACAAGCCCTGCAGGAACGGGGCCACCTGCACCAACACAGGCCAGGGCAGCTACACCTGTTCCTGCCGGCCAGGCTACTCGGGTGCTAACTGCGAGCTGGAGACAGACGAGTGTGAGGCTGGCCCCTGCAGGAATGGCGGCAGCTGCACGGTGAGGCAGGGTCCAGGGCTGGCCTTTGCCAGGGGTCCAGCACCTATGCCTTGGCAGTTCTGGAAAGCATTTCCTATCCTCTCTCATGCAGGACCTGGAGAACAGCTTCTCCTGTACCTGTCCACCTGGCTTCTATGGCAGGCTCTGTGAGTTGAGTGCCATGACCTGCGCTGATGGCCCCTGTTTCAACGGGGGCCGCTGCACAGACAACCCTGAAGGTGGCTACACCTGCCACTGCCCCCTGGGCTACTCTGGCTTCAACTGCGAGAAGAAGACAGATGCCTGCAGCTCCTCACCCTGCTCCAACGGTGAGGGCGAGAAACCATGCATGGGTCAGGGAGGTGGGTGCCCTGAATGTCCTGTGGAGGATACCATGTGTGGGTACCTTGTTCTCAGGAACACTGATGGGGAGCCACACAAACCCCAGGCTCAGACTGCCCGCAGCCCCCCTGTTCAGGAGCAAGTTCTCCCACCCCTGTGTGCCTTCACCCTGTGACACAGACTGGTTTCTGCCTAGATGGGGATCCCCTGCTTAGGTGCCCAGGACAAATGGACAGCAGGGCCCGTCTTGGTGCCTGTTCCCAGGGGTGAACGTGCTGTCCTCTGTGACTAACTCCCAGGTGGCTGGGATGGTGACTGACCCCCTGTGGGAACAGAGTTCTGTGCAGAGCTGTGGTTAGGGCTCATGGCTGGAGCACAGGCTCTGGGAAGTTTGTGCTTGTGTAGCCGAACCTGGCCCCTCAGAGCCTCCTCTTGCAGTTTGAACTTGTCCAGGATTCTCCGTGTCTTTGGCTTGTCTGGTGCTTCTGGGGACCTGCTGACACAGAGATTGTTTAAGGGTGCGTGTGATGGTCACAGTGTGACTGTTCATGTTCTGTGTCTGGGACCCAAGTGATGTGAGGGTGTGAGACTGCTCATGTGCTGTCCGTGTGGTATGTGAGGTTACAGTGTGACTGTTCATGTGTTGTCTATGTGGTGTGAGGCTGTGTGAGGACATAGTATCATGTGCTGTTGATGTGGTGTGAGGGTGTGTGAGGTTACAATGTGACTGTTCATGTACTGTGGCTGGGACCCACATAGTATGAGGCTGCGTGAAGTCACAGTGTGACTGTTGATGTGTTGCTAATGTGTGAGTGTGAGGTCACAGTGTGACTGTTGATGTGTTGTTAAGTGGTGTGAGGGTGTGAGTGTGAGGTCACAGTGTGACTGTTCATGTGTTGTTAATGTGGTGTGAGGGTGTGAGGTTACACTGTGACTGCTGTGCATGTGCTGTGTCTGGGACCCACATGGTGGAAGGCTGTGTGGGTGAGGTCACAGTGTGACTGTTCAGTGCTGTCATGTGGTGTGAGGGTGTGTGTGTGTGAGGATGTATTGTGACTACTGTAACCTTTGTTTTACAGGTGCCACCTGTGTAGATCTTGGCAACGCCTACCTGTGCCGCTGCCCAGCGGGCTTCTCTGGGAGGCACTGTGAGAACAATCTGGATGACTGTGCCTCCTCACCATGCTCACATGGAGGCACCTGCCGGGACGGTGTCAATGACTACTCCTGTACCTGCCCCCCAGGCTACATGGGCAGGAACTGCAGTGCCCCTGTCAGCCGCTGCGAGCACGCACCCTGCCACAACGGGGCCACCTGCCATGAGAGAGGACACCGGTACCTGTGCGAGTGCGCCCAGGGCTACGGTGGCCCCAACTGCCAATTCCTGCTGCCAGAGCCACCCCCGGGCCCCGTGGTAGTGGACCTCACAGAGAAGTTGGTTGAAAGCCAGGGTGGACCATTCCCCTGGGTGGCTGTGTGTGCCGGCATCATCCTGGTCCTCATGCTGCTGCTGGGCTGTGCTGCCACCATCGTGTGCATGCGGCTACGGCTGCAAAAGCGCCGGCCACCTGCCGATCCCTGCCGGGGCGAGGCAGGGACCATGAACAACCTGGCTAGCTGTCAGCGGGAGAAGGACTTGGCGGTGAGCGTCATTGGGCCTGCACAAATCAAGAACACCAACAAGAAGGCTGACTTCCAGGGGGACCACGGCGCCGCCGACAGGAATGGCTTCCGAGCCCGCTACCCTGCTGTGGACTATAATCTGGTGCCAGACCTCACAGGCAGTGATACCGGCAGCAGTGACACTCCTGGGCACCCAGACATCAAGGGGCAGCCCCAGGGCTGTACCGGGGAGGAGAAGGGCAGCTCTGCCACACTCAGGGGGTGCGTGCTGTAGGTTGGGCAGGGGTGGGCACAGCAGGGCGGCCTTGGGACCTTGACCACCAGCACAGGCCAGTGTTCTCACTGTGGTTCTTTGATTTTCTCCAGTGGGGAAGCCACAGAGAGGCGAAGACCTGACCCTTCCTACCCCAGCATGAAGGACACCAAGTACCAGTCGGTGTACGTCATATCGGAGGAGAAGGACGAGTGCGTCATCGCCACCGAGGTTGGTGCCGCCTGCCAGGCGGACGGGCAGACGGGCACCCCAGGGCATGTCCTGAACTCACTTCCCTTCTGTCTTCAGGTGTAGACTGGAAGCCAGGTGGTGAGATCCCCGTTTCTCTGCCCTGAAATTCCCAGGATATTTGCCCCGACGAATGCTGCTGAGTGGTGAGGGAGGCGCCCAGGGCTGCTGCTGAGGAGCCCCCAGCTCGAGCTGGTTCTCTCCCAAGGCTGCAGGGGCTTCAGGGGCTGGCCACCCGCCGCACTGCCTTCATGTCACCCTGTTGCACTATGGGCTGTTGTGTCCGCAGGCATGTGTGACCTGGTGAGCACCGACCATGCGCATACTGCCTGAGGTGGGCCCCTTGGAGTCCTGTGAGCCAGCCTTGAGTTAGAAACACCCACTGCCTTCATTGTCCTTTTTGATACTAAAAATGTGTTTTTCTAGATGAAAAAAATGTGTTATTTTTTGATTTGTAAAAATATTTTCATGATATCTGTAAAGCTTGAGTATTTTGTGATGTTCATTTTTTATAATTTAAAATTTGGTAAATATGTATAAAGGCACTTCGGGTCTATGTGACTATATTTTTTGTATATAAATGTATTTATGGAATATTGTGCAAATGTTATTTGAGTTTTTTACAGTTTTGTTAATGAAGAAATTCCTTTTTAAGATATTTTTCCAAAATAAATATTATGAACAGCACCACAGGTGTGGTTGCTGCCTCACTGCTTGGGGCTCCACCCCTTCTGGACAACCCTGCGGGGTCTCTCAGGAGCTGAGTGTGTCCTGTGTCTAGGGGGCTGCCCTCAGGAGGTGCATCTGCCCCTGAACTGCATTGGGATGTCTGTGTGGGGCCTGGGTCAGCGCCAAGGGGCCCAGTCTGCAGCCAGGAAGCACTTCCATCTGCCTGGGACAAGACCTGTTGCCCTGGAGCAGTGCTTACATGTCCATTTCCTTGGTCAGCTAAAAAATCTGAGTCATCTCTCAGATGTGCTGAGGAGCAGGACGACCATGTCAGCAGGCTCCAATGGGTGACTTGATCCCTGGCCCCATCTGCCATGTGGCTGTGGTGGGCTCCATGCCCTGGGGCCAGAGGGTGGTGTCGGTGAAGGGCAGCTGCTGGCTGAGGACCCGGGCTGGGGGCTCAGTGTTTAGGTCTGGGAGCAAGTCTCCAGGCCCAGTTTGGTTGCTGGTGCCCCTTGGTACAGTCCTAGATGGGAAGAAGCAAGAGGTGCTTTGGAGTGCTAAGGCCCAGGCCATGGTCATGGCCTCCTCAGCCTTGGGAGCCAGCAGTGGTCAGCAAGCCTGCCCTACACATACACTGGAGCTTGTTGGGGTACAGTAGGGGGCTGGACATCCTCTGTCTCCCTCTGGGCAGTGGCTTCAGTGTGGACATTTGGTAGGTTGACCATATCTGCATGCAGAAGCTGCGGCTGCACCCCCAAGGCCAGCAGAGCTGGCTCTGCCAAGGCTGCTGCTTGGGCCATCACTGCTCGGCTCGCATGAGTCAACCCCCATGCCAGTTATGTGATCTCCATGTATGCCTAGACCCTTTGTGTCCTAGAATACATCACATGCCAGGATCCTGGTGAAATCATCCTGCCAGCCTAGCATCCCACATCCAGGAAGTAGCCACAGCAGGTAATGTCGGCCTCCCCACCCCTCAACTTGCAGGCTGTGGGCTTCTGTGGTCAACCTCGGAGGAGCATAGCCAGTGCCATGGGGCTTAGGCCTGGCCCAGTTCTGGCCCAGGTGTGCATCTGGGGAGTGACCCAAGCAGGTGGGTGCTTGCTGCTGTTGTCAGTCTGCCTTTGAAGTAAAAATAAATGAGCATTGAATAAGGCAGCTTCCGAGCCAGCTGTGTTGGGGGGCAGTGGAGGGGGCATGTCAGATGTCGGAGCAGCACCCAGCATGGGACTAACAGCTGCAGCAGTAGCCAAAGCATTAACTCAACAGGCCCCACCTGATGGGACTCGGGGGGTCCCTGCGCAGCAAGGACACAGGGAGGTGGTCTGAGCTGTAGCTCCCTGGGCACTGATGCCATGGGGTCTATTCCATCAGACAGCAGGGCACACGCAGCCTGCTTAGGGGCACTGGTACAGCCCAGGAGGGACAGGGCTGGGTCTCCCCTTTCACACTGCCCCTGGGCATGTCTCGTGGGGCACCTGCCGCCCACGCTGGGTTCATTTCTGGTGCCAGTTGCATTCTCTGCAGCTCTGCATGAACATCCATGCACAGGGCACAGTGGCTGCCTCCCACATTTTCACGATAACAGATCCCTGACAGGGGAACTAGTTTGTTGAAGAAAAGAAGCATTTCCAAGACTATTGTGTCTGTGCATGTTTATGAACTTCCATCAGGAACTGCTTCCAGCAGCACAGTGTTGAAGACACTGTCCAGTCTGGGAGTTGATCCTGCCCAGTGGCCTTTCTCTCCCTACCTAATGGGTCAGTGTCTGTTCAGAGTTTCCTTTTCATTGAGGCCGCAGGCAGTGAAGCAAAGGCTGCTGCCCATGACTGCTGACCCCCGGTGGGCCTGAGGGTGGGCCTGAGCAGTGGAGCAGAGAAGGGAGAAGGAACTGGAAGAGCAGGTGTGGGTCTCTGCAGGTCTGCACAGCTCGTGTAGTGTCAGTTGCCTTTTCCTGTTCTCCCTGCCTGCATCTGGAAGTGGTGCTGGCCTGTGCACCTGCATTTCACCTGCTCTCTCCGGCTGCAGGTCCAGTCCTCTTTTAGGAAGCTAGGGGATCAGGGTGGGTGGAGGCAGGGACATCGGGTGGCAGCTTTGCTGAGCAGCCCCATGAGTGTGTGTGTGTGGGAAAAGCTGTTGCTACGGGCTTGGCCTTCATGGATTCCTCCATTTCAGCATTCACAGAGGCAGTTCTGGGAGATTTTCCGCCCTCTCCACCCTGCCCTCTCCACCCTGCCCTCCCCCAGTGACTTTTCTCTCTCTGCAGACATAAACACACCTGCTCACCTGCTCAGAAAGACTGTCTAGAAGTGCCTGGCTCCTTGTCCCCTCTTCAATGTAGCTGTCTTCTGCTCTGAGCCTTGGAGGTGTGGGAGTTGGGGACAGGGCAGCCAGGCAGGGCCAGGCCACCTGTTCCTCCTAAGGGCATTGTGTCATTGGGTGGCCACTCTGGGCTTGTGGCCTCACTTTCCGACCTGGCAGGGGATCTCAGAGACAAGCCTCTCCATGGTTCCTGCCAAGCCCCACCCAGTACTCAGCCCCTCTCACCTGCATGGGTGCCTGGCAGTAGAGATGACGGTGATGGTCTTGGGGAATGTGAGGGCAGTGACCCAGAAACCCAAGTGAGGCGGGTTGCTGAGATGGTGGCTGGGATCTTTCCAAAGCCCACTGTGACATGAGCAGTCCTGGCATTTCAAAGGGAAGCCGAGATGCAGGTGGCGCTTGTGGCAGCTCTGGGGGTCAGGCCAGGGGCAGGTGCCAGGCAGTGCCATGGAGGTCCACGAGGGGAGACTCAAGGCAAAACTGGCCGCTTTCTCGGCATGCTGCTGGCCAGCACAGGGCTCGTGCCTGGGTGCCTGTGTCAGGATGGTGCTGTGGTACTACCTAGTATTTTGCCTCAAATTGAACACCTGTTCTCCCACTATTTCCACCCAAGACACTTATCTAATTAAGTTGAAAATATTTAGAAAGGACTCAGAATCAAAACTGGATATGACAGCGTCAATGACTGGCTCATAGGACATCACCTGTGGGGCTGGCCTTGTGGCTCAGGGTCCCCTGCTGATGCAGCTGGGAACTGAGCAGATGTCAGCCTCTGTGCTGGGGCTCCTGTCAGCACGTGGGAGATCAGGTGGAGCTCCCCGGCCCCGGCACTGAGGCCTTGTAGAGAGTGAACCAAGAGTGGAAGATCTCTCTCTGTGTCATTCCACCTTTCAAAAGGTGAATAAATCTTTAAAAACCGCCCCTGGCTGTACTGTGGGTGTCTGCTGTGGGCAGGAGCAGAAGACTCAGCAGGGAAAAACTGACCCATGTAGAGGAGACCAGAGCAGAAGGAAAATAGGCCCGGAAAGGCAACAGCTGTTGGCCTGCGCTGCTCCTGGTCCATGGCAGGACGCTAAGGGGAGGTGCCAGCTGCCCAGGCCATGGGCAAATAGGCCTCCCTGCTTCTTCACTGTGGGAATCAGGCTCATGTCTTCCCTCCCCCAAAAGAACTGAATCCTGGGTTCCTGCACCTGACCCTTCTGTGTGCTAACACCCATTTCAAATGAGGAGCCCTCAGGAGCAATCACTCACCCACCCTGACTTCAGCCTGGGGCACCCAGGCCGACTCCTGCTCTCTGTAGCTGTGGATGATGGTGTGTGAGCTGCAGGACGGTGACACACACAGGCCCACAGTGCTCTGGCCTGCAGTCTGGTGCCAGGCCTCCATGACAGGTAGGGACACTGCATGCAGAGAAAAGAGGGAGTCATGGAGCTGCTCCTGATGCCTGGGGGCAGTCCAGACGCTCCTCAAAGAGCCAAAGACCCTTGAGGACACTGGGCTGGGCCTCTGCTTCCTCCTGACCTCATGCTCCTCCTTTCAGCCCATTTCTTGGGGAGATGCAGGCCCCCCCAGTACTTTGCTCTGAGAATCTTGGTGATGTTTCCTGCCCTGCCTTCCCTTTTGTGCAGTCTGAGTTGAGCCAGGAGGCCCAGGAAGCATGGGAGCAGCAGGTCAACAGCAAAGTGTGTTCTGACCCCAACCTGGTCAGGCCTTCATTGGCTTTGTCCCCAGGCATCTTGGAGTATGCATGGCCCACCTGCTCCCTGCACATAGGCCCCCAGCCTAGGGAGGATCATTGGTGGTGCCCAGCCTAGGGAGCACCAATGGTGGTGCCCAGCCTCTAACCCTCAGCAAATATTTGTCAGGTTCCTTTGTTCTGTTCCTGGCTTGAAGGGCACAACATTTATGGTCTGCAAGACAGGTGTGAAGTGTGCCTTGGTGTTTGCCAGACGGGGAGCTCTGGTGCAGACTGAACCATCAGAGGCAGAGCCTTGCTCTGGGATCGGCAGGTCCGGCATAGACTGAGCCACCCTAAGGCAGGGCCTTGCCATGCTTGAATTTTGCTCATCTA